GAACCGGGCGGGAGGGCGCGCAGAACGAACACGTTGGGCTCTGACTGCTACAGTTCGGCAGGATAAACGCGTCCGCTCGGCTGGGAATGTTCGTTGCGGATTTCTGAAGTGCATGTTGATTTCATTTGAAAACGGGGCAGCCCATCGTCTGAGTTCGTTCTTCTGGGAGCGTATTATGGCGGCTCATACCGCGCCAAACCCCCGGTAAACGCAGGGAGCGCCGATCGGGAGCGGGACGATGGCGGCGCGGCGCATCTCCAAGTCGTCGTCGGTGGGCGAGGAGCTCGACGAGATCGAGTTCGAGGTCTGCAGCGCCGCCGTCGTCGCGGACCTCCCGAGCGCCCTGCCGGCGAAGCAGCCGTCGTCGCTGCGGCGCGCGCCGCCGGCGCTCGAGACGCGGGACCTCGTCGCCGCGGAGACGAACGAGATCAGCTCGCCGCGCGCGGCGCCGTCGCCGACGGCGCGGCGCCGGAGCCCGCAGCTCGCGGCCGCGCCCGCGGCCCGGCGGCCGCCGTCGCCGCCGCGGCCGCCCGGCGCGCCGCCGACGAACGCCGGGCACAAGATCTTCGGCGCGCTCTCCGGCGACGCGGCGCTGACCGTCTTCCTGCGCTGCTTCTCCGCGCGCGACTGGCGGTCGCTCGGCAACTTTGGGCTGAGCGCGTTCGGGTTCCGGAGCTTCACGTCCTTCGCCGTGGGCATGCGCGAGCGCCTCGAGCTCTGCCAGGAGATGGAGCGCAACATCCGGAGCCGCGCGGCCCGCGAGGGCCACGCGTCGAGCCCCCTACTCGAGCTCGTCGAGCCCGAGCGCGCGCCGGGGTGGAAATCAAATCTTCAACCCGACTTCAATGTGCGCGTAATCGAACGATTTGGGCCAGACCCTTTCGTTGTGCTTCGAGAACTCGACGAGAGCAATCGATTCGTCCAAAAATCAGCCGAATCGACTTCGATTTGACCGAGCTAGAGAACTTTAAAATTTGGTGGGGATGTCCCAAACCAGTGGTTGATTTCCACACAGGCACGCGCGCGGCTGGCTCACGATCGTCGGCGAGGTGCCCGAGGACAAGCTCATCAAGTGCGTCGCCCTCGTCATCGCGCGCATCATCTCCGCGGCGAGGGACGCGACGGAGGCGGCGGCGCCCATCCTATCGAAGACGGCGGACGCCGTGCGCCAGCGCCTCTTCTGCGAGCCGCTGACGGCGCCCGTGCCGGGCGAGCCCTGGCCGCGCGAGCCCGCGAGCCCGACGTCCACCGTCGCCGACGACGACGGCGGCGGCGACGACCCGGGCGACGACGACGACGGCCGGGGGCTCGCGGTGCTCGAGGCGCGCCACTCGATGCCCGCGGACGAGCTCCGGGCGACGGGCGCCGAGGGCCAGTTCCAGAGCGGCACCTGGGCCGGCGACCGCCGCAACTTCAAGCTGCTCTACACGCTCATCCGCAAGAACCTGGAGGTGCTCTCGTACACGACGCGCGTGACGTCGCACGGCCTCATGCTCGCCGTCGTCATCCTCGACCGCTTCCTGTCGAAGATGCGGGGCACCATCGAGCTCGACCTGAGCAACGTGCGGCCCCTGCTCGCCGCGGCGATGATTTTGGCGGTCAAGGTGCTGCGCGACAACCGCGCGAACGTCAACGGCGAGCTCGCGGCGACGTGCGCGGGCGTGCTCGGCGTCAGCGCCAAGGTCGTCCTCGAGCGCATCAACGCCATCGAGCTCGCCATGCTCGACGCCATCAACTGGGA